CACACACACACACACACACACACACACACATACACGAGCGCACACACGTACTATAAACATACCCATATAAACTCATACACATATAAGACTGTACTATGCCTATTTCCACTTGTTATCTCTTTCTCTGCAGGTGGATAGCATCTTCCTTTAGCTGAGAATAGCTAAGTCATTCATAGCTGATCATCTTACAATATTGCTGTTATTTTGTACACAGTACATTTCACTTTGCATCACCTCATGTAAGTCTTTCCATGTTTTTATAAATTAATCAGCTCATCATTTTCTATACCACAGCAATATTCCAAGACAATCACTTCCTATCTGAGAGACTGGCTATGAAAGTTTCTTTCCAATTTTCTGCATTCTTTCTATTCCTGTCTACATTGGTTTTATTTATATGATAAATTTTTAATTTAAAATAATAATGAAAATTGTCTATTTTATACTTCAACAATGGCTCTCCCTTTTTAATGTAGCTTAAGGTCTGATACTGCTAAATCTCCTTCCTGAACTTTGTTATTAATTTTTCTATCTCAGTAAAATAATTTTCTAGTAATTCAGTTGTGGTGGCATTGAAAAAATAGATTAGTTAAGTAAAATTGTCATTTTAAAAATTATATTGGCTTTACCTACCCTTGAACAATAAATATTACTCCAATTATTTACATCTGACCTTATTTGTATAAAAAGTGTTTAGTATTTATATTCATGTAGCTCCTGTGTCTTTTTTTGACAGATATACTTTCTGCTTTCAGGTATTTTTAAACTGTCTAGTTATTTTATTTATTTAGTATTTTTATTTTTCCCCAGTTACACATAAAAACAATTTTAACATTAGGTTTTAAAACTTTGAGTTCCAAATTCTCTCCCTTCTTTCCTCCCCACCCCCCTTCATTGGGAAGGCATGCAATTTGATATAGGTTATACATGTGTAGTCATGCAAAATTTTTCCATAATAGTCACATTGTGAAAGAAAATATAGACAAAAAATCCTCAAGAAAAATAAAGTTTAAAAAAATATGCTTCAATCTATATTCAGACACCATCATTTCTTTCTCTGGGGATGGATAACATTTTTCATCAGAAATCCTTCAGAGTTTTCTTGGATTATTGTACTGCTGAGAATAGCTAAGTCATTCACAGCTGATCATCTTACAATATTGCTGTTATTTTGTACACAGTACATTTCACTTTGTATCAGCTCATGTAAATCTTTCCAGGTTTTTCTGAGAGTGTCCTGCTGACCATTTCTTATAGCTCAATAGTATTCCATCATAATCACATACAACAATTTGTTCAGTCATTTCCCAATTGATGGGTATCCCCTAAATTTCAAATTCTTTGCCACAAGAAAAAAAAAGCTGTTATAAACATTTTTATACATATAGATCCTTTTCCTTTTATTTTTTATCTCTTTTGGGATACAGACCTAGTTGGCAAGTCTTTGGACATAGTTCCAAATTGCTCTGCAAAATGGTTGAATCAGTTCACAATTCCAACAACAGTGCATTAATACCTCATTTTTTCATTTTCTTTTTCAGTTCTATTAGCCCAACTAACAGGTATGGAATAGAATTGTTTTAATTTGTATTTCTCCAATCAATAGTGAGTTAGAGCATTTTTTTCATATGGCTACAGATAACTTCATCTGAAAACTGTTCATATCTTTTGATTTGATAATTTACCCCATTTTACCTCTACCTTTCCCTTCCTCCCATTACATTCCACCCCTTATTTTTATTTTTTTTATATATCATCCCTTCATATTCAACTCACACCTGTGCCTTCTGTCTATCTATACTCCTTCAAACTGCCCTAATAATAAGAAAGTTCTTATGAATTACAAATATCATCTTCCCATGTAGTAATGTCAATAGTTTAACACATTAAGTCCCTTGTGATTTCCCTTTCCTGTTTACATTTTTATACTTCTCTTGAGTCTTGTATAAAAAAGTCAAATTTTCTATTCAGCTCTGGTCTTTTCATCAAGAATGCTTGAAAGTCTTAGAGAAAGTAAAAGCAAAAATAGACCTAATTAAAAGAGATAAGGAAGGAAACTACATCTTACTAAAAGGAAGCATAGATAATGAAGCAATCAAATTAAAAAACCAAGGAAATACTCTATGTGTCAGATCTGTGGGGAGGAGAAGAATTCATGACCAAACAAGAGCCAATGAGTATTACAAACTGTAAAATAGACAATTTTGATTATATTGAATTAAAAAACTTTTGCAAACAAACAGCACCAATGCAACCAAGATTAGAAGGAAAACAGAAAGCTGGGAAGCAATCTTTACAGTATCTCTGATAAAGGCTTCCTTCTAAAATATATAGAGAACCAAGTCAAATTTATGAGAATACAAGCCATTCCCCATTTGATAAATGGTCCAAGACAGGTCCAAACAGGCAGTTTTCAGATGAAGAAATCAAAGCTATCTATAAGCATATGAAGAAGTGCTCTAAATCATTTTTGATTAGAGAAATGAAAATGGAAAGAAATCTGAAATATCACCTCACACCAATCAAATTGGCTAATATGACAAAAAAAAGGAAAATAATAAATGTTGGAGAAGATGTGGGAAAATTGGGACACTAATGCATTGTTGGCAGAGTTAAGAACCAATCCAACCATTCAGACTTTGTTGTCTTCTCAGTGAGTGTTTTGATCTTCTTTGTCACCATAGTAACTTTCTATAGTCAGAGGGTTTTTTTCCCCTCTGCAGTTTGCTTATTTTCCCGATCTATTAACTTGACTTTTGACTGATTGTTAAAGTAAAGCTTTGCTTTGTCCCAAGCTTCAGGGGTTTTGTGCAGCTGTTTTCAGAGATATTTCTAGGAACATATAAGTTTTCAGTTCTTTCAAGGTTTTCAGTTCTTTCAATCTAGAGAGGTACTACTCTCCTGGACTGTGCTCTGTTCTGTGAGTGACCTTTCTTGCTGACTTTCTTATTTTTCTTTGGTGTCTATGGGCTGAAAGATCTGAAAACCACCACAGCTGCCAGGGATTCTGTTACCCCAAGGCCTGCTCCTGGTTTGCTGGGGCCCAGTCTGTGCTGGCATGGCCTGTGCCAGACTGCGCTTCTCTTCCACCCTGGTGCAACAAACCTTTCTTGCTGACCTTCTAGGTTTTCTTGGGCTGGAAAAGTGTTTCACTCTGTCTTTTTGTAGGTTCTGTTGCTCTAGAATTTGTTTAGAGTCATTATTTAAAGGTATTTGGAAGGGTTTGGGGGAGAGCTCAGGTGAGTCTCTGCCTTTACTTGCCATCTTGGCTCTGTCTACTTATTTTAAATAATATTGAATAACTTTGGTGCACATTACATTCTATTTTCCATCTCCATGCTTGCCCTCATGCCTGAAATGCAGTCATTCTCCACCTTATTGCTTAGATTCCTCAATTTCAAAGCTCAGCTCAAATGCTAAATGGCCCTTATTATCCCTTCCCACTTGTGCCTCTACCCTCCCTCCTAAATCCTTCAAATGTATGTTATTTCTCCCCAATAAAATTGTAACCCATGATGCACACTTGTAATCAAGAATGTAAACTCTTTGAGGACAAGGACTATGTTATCTTTGTCTTTGTATCACCAGTACCTTGTGCAGTGCTTGTGATACTTGATAGGCTTTCAATGAATGTTTGTTGATCGAGTGATTGGACCTGGGATTCTAGGTAGACATCTGGTCCTTAATTCTCTGAACCATAGATACTTAAGCTCTAGATATGAAGCTTGAAAGAAAAAATAAAATAAAAGCTAACTAGTTCCATTACTTTACAGTGGTTCTCTCTCCTCTCCTCTTTTCACAAAAACTGGAATCCACATTTAATTGCATTTTAATTCTTTCCTTTGGTACTTGTATTATCCTTCCCCTTTTAGTATGAAACATGTAACAACTAGGTGGATTGGAGGGGGAGGAGCCAGCAAAAATTATATGAATACCTTGAAACAAACCTTAAAATTATTGAATATTCCAGGTTACCACTGTCTCTCCTTCCGCTTCCAGACCATAAAATAAGGAAGAAAGGGCGCATCCAATATAAATTCTGGAAGGGCATATACTGTGTCTTCAGTATGTTCTGGACAGCATTCAATAAACATTAGTGAGTGATATTTATGAGATTAGCGTTAGCAGGTCCAATTGGTATATTTGTTCAGTCTCCCCTAGGTATCAAAAGGTAAAATAAAGCATACTGAGGAGCTCCTAAGAAGAGAAAAACAAATAAGAATCTCTTTTTTAAGTTTTAGTTTTAGTTTTTATGTCTCTTGTGCAGAGATAATTTGGTGTAGTAGATACAGAGTTAGTCTGGGAGCCAGGAAGACCTGGGTACAAGTCCTGCCTCTGCCTGGCTGTGTGACCTTGGGCAAACTGATTGACCTAGAGAGTGCTCTAGGACTCTCAAGAGTACATGTTGCACAGAAATTGCATTCAGAAAAGGAGGTTCCTCATTTGGGAATTTCCTATATCAGTGAAATCAGAGGTCCAATCCCTAGATTTTAAAGCTCTAATTTGTTATTTTCATGAGGTCAGGTCCATAGGTTTTTTTTTTTCTTCAGTGAAGTAGCAATAAATAATTAAACATTACTGTCTTTGATTCACATTGCTGTTTATTTTAACTTAACCTCCCCAGTTTCATTCTGTAGGCCATATATTTTATAGAATTACTTCAACTTATCTAATGAGCTTTGAACTGGTTAATTTGGTTTTTAATTATCTTTTTTTTTTGACAGTTGGGGTTAAGTGACTTGCCCAGGGTCACACAGCTAGCAAGTGTCAAGTGTTTGGTCTGAGGCCAGATTTGAACTCAGGTACTCCTGACTTCAGGGCCGTTGCTCTATCCACTGTGCCACCTAGCTGCCCCTGTTTTTAATTATCTTAAACTCAAAGGATGATGATATTAACTGATCAATAAATTAGTAAACAAATACTTACTAAACTCCTGTTATGATTCAATAGGCAGTTAAGCATCATCCTTTACTAGTCCGTCTTGTTTCCTTGTTTTGTAGGTTTGCTGTGGAATTTGTCCTCTAATGATAAGCTCAAGAATCTGATGATTACAGAAGCTTTACTAATCCTGACAGATATTATCATCATCCCCTATTCAGGATGGTCTGAAGGTGACTATCCCAAAGCAAATGGGTTGCTTGATTTTGATATATTCTACAATGTCACGGGAAGTTTAAGGTAAAGTCATTTTCTTTCCCTTTTATAATCCTCCCATTCCCTTTCAGTATATACTTTAAGTACTGTATTTAGGTCTTTCCCAAACCTTCCTCAATCTACCTACAAAGGCAACTGAGAGAGGGAAGAAGCTATGATAATTCTTTAAAATTATCATAATAATAATGTAGTAATCATCCACTAACATCCTATTCCAATGCTTCCTTATGGGAATTGATTGTTTTGTTTTTTAAAGGCAATTGGGGTTAAGTGACTTGCCCAGGGTCACACAGCTAGTGTCTGAGGCCACATTTGAACTCAGGTCCCCCGACTCCAGGGCTGGTGCTCTATCCATTGAGCTACCCTAGCTGTACATGGGGGTTGATTGTTAAAGCATAGCACAAACATGATATACCCTAACATTACAGAAGCTATTTGAATATGAGTTCAAAAATGGGTTATGCATCCATAATTTGGAGATAAATCTTGATAAGTTTAGAGAGGCCCATCACCACAAAAGGGGTCACCAAATGGTGAAATATTTTTGCCACAGCAACATGATCTTTCCTGACTCCTAATCCTTTTTGACCTATCTATTTCTTTTGCTACCGTTGATCTTTCTGTACACCTCACTGTCTTTTTGTGACACTACTTTCTCTTGGTTCACCCATGTACTAGTACTCCTTAGTCTCCTTTTCTGGCTTACCATTCACATTAGGCCCCTAACTGTGGGTCTTCCCCCAAGGTTTTCTTCTGGGTGGTCTTCTCTAATCTCTCTCTTTTGGTAATCTCTCTGTTCCCTTGGTTTTAATTATCTGTAAACAGATGATTACCAGGTCAATCTACCCAGCCTTAGTCTCTCCTCTGAGCGTCAGTCTTGGATCATCAATTGCCTGTCAGATGTTTCAAAATAGATGTCTCAGATACATATTAACACGTCTAACAATTATCTCATTGTCTTTCCCCTTAAGACCAACCTTCTCCCATGCTTGTCTTTTTCTGTCTAAAAAAAAAGGCACTAGTATCTTTCCAGAATCCCAGGTTTGTAATCTCTGCATTTTCCTTGATTCTTCAACTCTCCCTCACTGCATATATGCAATCACTTGACAAATCTACTTTCATATCTCTCAAACTTAATCCTTTCTCTCTACTCCTACAGCTACCACTTTAGTTCAGGCCTTTATTTCTTCTCACCTAGAATATTGGTACAGCTCCTAATTAATCCCCTTGCTTTAAATCTTTTCTCCCCTCCAGTTTATCCTACATACTACTGCCAAAACAATTTTCCCTAAGAGCATATCTGATTATATGACTTCCCTATTCAAACAACTCCAGTAGTTTTCTATTTCTCTATGATAAAATGTGAAATTTTTGGTTTAACTATTCAGGCCCTTCACAACCTAACCCCAATCTATCTTTCTAGCTCATGAAACTCAACTTCCCGTCACTTTTCCATTGCACTGGCCATCTCCCATATTTGGAAGAATGTACTCCTTCCTATCTTCCACTTCATATAGTCTTTCTTTTCCTGTAAGGTTCAACTTAGGCCCCATCTTTTGCACTGGGCTTTTCTGGCACCCTGCCCCCCACCCCAAACTTCCAGTGCCCTTCCTTCTGAACTACTTTGTATGTATTTGTATTTGTTATCTATCTATATATATAGATATAGATATCCATATCTATATCTATACTTCTTATTTCCCCATGGGAATGTTGCTCATTTAGATTAGGAATGGTTTCTTTTTTTTCATACTTATTCCCTCGTACCTAGCCCAGTTCCTAGCACCTAATAGGTACTTCATAAATACTTGTTGGCTGATTGCTAAAGTGTAGAGGAGTTGCATTTTGTACCAGTGAAAGGCAGAACCATAACTGGGGTGGGATTTGGCTTTGACCCAGGGCACTGATATGGAGGAGAGGTAGCAATGCTGAATTACTGAGTAGAAAATGGAGTTCTATGCTTTTTTCCTGAAGTAACAGCTGTTGTCAATATTTGTAGTCCTCCAGAAATGTGAGGTACAATAGTGTCTTGGATTTTCTTGGGGGTGGGTAGTCTCCTTCCTGGTGTCACTGAATCTTCAGTAATACTGTCTTCTGCAGTGCTTATCATTCATATTATATTTTGATTATTAACAGTGTGCCACATTATAACAACAAATAGAACCTGCCCAATTGACTTACCAGCAAATAAGAAGTATCAGCCAATGGAAAGAATAGAAATTCACCTGAATGGAAGCCGTCACCCCAACCCTCTGCTAGACTCCAATTTTACACTAAATGAATATTTAATCCAACAATCACTACATTTTATACTAGAAAGACAACTAACACAGTAGTTTATGAGTGCTTAGAGCTTTAAGAAAGTTAACCTAATGATTAGTGTTGGGGTTATCGAGGTGGGGAAGGGGCTTGTCTGTCTTGTCATCTGTTACCCACTGATTTTTATCAGCCTCAGTTGCCTTTATGTCCCATGTCTGTATCTGTTAATATGTGTGTATACAGCTAAAAGACAACAAGACCTAAGGACAAAGGCTTAGAGGGTGCACGGAGGAGGTGGCTCAGTCTGCCCTGACTGTCAGTCAGAATGTCCATAGGTTGGCATTCCAGCATGTGCCTTATCTCCTGGATACTACATATTACAGCTTCCCTATAGAATCATAGCTTTTTCATGCTGTTTAAAAAAAAAAAAGTACTTTAAAAAAATTCACATAAAAGAAGGAAAAAATATCTTGGTGGTTAAAGCTGTAGTAATTCCATTTACAGTACACTTCTAGATCCAAAAATGGCTTAAGATAGACTTGGTGAATATATACATGTATTTTATATTTATGTATATAGATATAGGTATATCTATATCTATATTATGCACATGTAACAGTATAAAGAAGTTGGTGTGGTGATCATAGCTGTTCAACCACTCCTATTTGCCATTTGTCTACTAGTGACTCATTGTCCAAATAGATATTCCTAGTATAAACACTCTGCCTTAACTCTAAGAAGTAGGATTAAAATATTTGTAATTTTGTTTATTCATTTGTTAGTTTTTAGCCTCCAGCTAGAGACATTACTTCTGTTAAAATACCTAGTGTTAGTCTTTTTTTTTTCTCTCTCTCTTCTCTGAAGACGTTTTCTCCCTCAGTTTGTTCTTGTCACCTATCTTCCCAATAAGTATAAGCTCAACTAGAAATTACCAGTGGTTATCACCATAAAGACAAAATAAACATTTAAAAAGGAAGGTAAGTACCCAACCCATGCTCAGAGGAAAATGATTCATCTCTTATGAAGGAGTTCAGGGAGAAGACATCCAAGATTACCCCCTTGGGTTCTATATTCTAAGGGTTTCAGCAACACAATTTCTGTCCCAAAATACCTTCTACCCAAGCAATATCACTGCCAGATCATGGCCCCTTTGTTTGTGGTGGTTACCTGTGCTTCTATTTTCTCTGCTTTTGTGATTTCCTATAGCTTCCCTTTCTTCAGTTCTATGATTCTGATTGTTCCATCAGGAGGTAGGTTACTCCTTATGTCTTTCTCATGGATTTAGTGAAGTGACTTTTAAAAGTCACCCTAAGGAATAGCCTACCATTCTTCAACCAATTGTTTTCCCCCTTTTTGATTCCCTCAAAAAAATTAATTTCCACTTTATAAAGGAAACAGCTAGTGTAGCTTCATTTTACACTTAGCTTAGCACATTCATACTCTTCTCTGATTCGGTCAAGGAAGGGCCAGTTTAAGCATGTATATGTAGATATATATGTCACTAAAGATCCATAATTTTCTTTTAACTTGCTGGACTTTTCAATTGTTCTTGTAGCATTAGAATATATTGGTGGAGGCATATATCCAGAAGGACATGATCTGAAGCTACTCTCTCAAATTCCACTCACCCTAGCAGGCTGTGTCCTCAAATGGTGGCTACTAGTAATTCCTGTAAGGAATCCTGAAGGTCTGAGGTGGAGAGAGGATTCTAGTACAAGGAGCTAGGTGACATTGTGAATAGGGTCGCAGACTTTGAGTCAGCAAAATTTGAGTTTGAATGTTGCTCCAGACACTTATGACCTTGGGCATGTCACTTAATCTCTCTTACCTTTAGTTTACATTACATTTTAAGCTCCTCTAGGGCAAGGGAATGATCTTTTGCTGCTTTTTGTATCCCAGTGCTTAACATATTGCCTGGCACATGTGGGTGCTTAACAAATGTTGATTGATTGATTGAATGATTTCTCATCTGTAAAATGGTGAAAATAATAGCACCTTCCTCACAGAGTTTTTGTGAGGACCAAATGAGATATCTGTAAAGCATTTTGCAGCCTTAAAGCACTATTATTAGCTATTATTATTGTTTTCTTGGTCCTGTTTACTCCACTATAAATCAGTTCATACAAGTCTTCCTAGATTTCTTTTAAACTATCCCTTCTATAATTTCTTACAACATGATAATAGTCCATTACATCTACCTTGTATCCATCAGTTTCCTTGTCAGATGAAGGAGAGAATCGACTGCCAAAGATGATACCTCCACTTTCACATTTTATGAAGATATGGTGGAATATTCTCAACAATACTGTCTCATAAAACAGAAAGAGACAGTACGGGGTAAAAGCTGTCTAAATAAAGTGTTTACCGAGGAAGTAGAAATGGCAATAAAAGGAACAAGGAAAAAGCAACCAGATTTTGGGGAAAGGCCCCAAGCCAACCATCCTTTTCCCCCTCCTAGCTCTTCTGATTCTCCAGACTTTGTCTCCCTGTTTCATCTGCCTTCTTACTCTGGAACATTCCTCTACCTCTCAGGCCCCCTTCTCCCACTGATAAGTTCCTCCCAGGGCCACCACTTTGGAGAGAGGTTCAGGTTGGCCATTCTTCATTCCTGTCCCAGTTCTGTTTTCAGCTCTCCAGTCTTGGGACACCATGCCCGTGCACAGGTAATAACCCTAACCTTCTACTTCAGCACTCTTTTATGTATTATCTTCATTCATTAGAATGTCAGCTCCTTGAGGGCAGGGACTGTCTTTATTTTTGCTCAT